CAGCAAAGGGTGGGAGTGGTGGCTATCGATTGTATGGCAGTTCTTCTGGTCTTGGATATACGCACCCTGGATTCTCTTCAAATCTCGGGGTATCCGCGATGTTCACGGTTGGCGTCTGCAGACTATTTGCTGTTGTCTTGTGGGGTATGTCTTTCCTAAACCATGCACCACGCACTCTGCTGACTTTTCGCAGTCTTCCAGCATCCCCTCTATGGCTTGCTGGTCTCTACGCTCCTGAGTTCGGGGTTGTAAACATGGTCTTTCCCCCACCACTTTGGTTCTCTGTCTGCTTCGGCCTAGTAGAGGTCTTCACAATTGGATCTACCATTCGCGATGTGCTTCAAGGCAACAAGCTTCGCCAAGAGACACTAGATGCTATTGCTGATTGGGAGGCGCGTCAAGCGGCCAACGACTTGGGCGCAGCTACTGGTGAGGAGCTGAAGAAGAGTCCTAGCGAGTTCTCGGGATCAACTGCCCTCCAGTCCGTTGGTGATTCTAGCTTCAGCAAACAGTCGTTTGATTCGAAGTCAGACATCTTGACGATGACTGCTTTGGAGAACGCTCTCCGAACCAACCCTATGCCACTCCTTGAGTTTGCTGCATTGAAGGATTTCTCTGGTACGTACTCTCTCGATGCGCATTGTCTAGTTGACCATGCACTGACCGCACAATAGGCGAAAACGTCAGCTTCCTTACCCATGCGGCAGATTGGCGACGCCAATGGTTTTCGCATAAATCATCGACCGCGGAGCACAACCGCAATCAATTTGTGGCTGCTGTCCGCATCTACGCTCATTTCATCTCTCTCGAATTTTCAGAGTTTCCTATCAACATTTCTTCCAAGGAGATGAAGCGACTTCATCATGTCTTTGTAGAAGCTGCTGTTGCACTATTTGGTCGTCGCCGAAACTCCCATTCATCATCGTCAAGCGGCGACGCGACACCTTTCGACAATGTTTACCCAGACGACGCTTCTGATATGCCTATTCACGACAAGAGCGCAAACAATTCTATCAAGGAACTCAAGGGCGCAATCAGCCTTGACAATCTTGGACGTGCCAACCTGAGAGCTGTGGCGCACATGGAGCCAGGCTGGCTCGATGGCACGCTGGCCGACATCAAGATTCCAGACAACTTCAACGAGATGGTTTTCGATTCTGCCGAGAAAGAAATCAAGTACCTTGTCCTCACAAATACCTGGCCCAAGTTTGTACAGGTTTCACGCGCAAACAGCGAGATGAGCAAAGAGGATCCGGAGAAGGGTAACAATGCCTGGATGCACAGGTTTTTATGTCATCACCCTTGATGAACTACCAACCACGTTTTTCAAATAATTTAATCATTTAATATAATGACATGCTGGTTAATCGTCAGCACAATCTTTCTTTTCTACATTATGAAGTTCATGAATATAACTGAAGTGTTGATTCGACCTTGTCCATGTATCCTCAACGAAATCTCAAATCAAGAGCTATAGAGGTTAGGCTGGTCCTTTGCACAGAAATGAACGAGTCTATTCACATACAACGGATCAAGAAATATATACTCAAAGACCCTACTATCCACTAACCCCAACGCAATAATAATACCCTGGCCAAATCTGCGTCCCACAATTCTCGCCATTGGCGCCAACAACTGGATTCCACTTGTAGAACAATGCGCTCTCAATCCCTGCATCATTCGCAAGCTTCCAACACCCATCCCCATCACCCGCTCGTACAAACTTGTTGCAGTTCCCCACGATCCCCGCTTGCGTCTCACTCGGCTTAGCCGGACCCGTCGTACTCGGCGCCGACGTCGTCGAAGTGCGAGACGCAGAGGCAGTAGGAGTAGGCGCAGCCACAGCCGAAACACCAATACAATATGAATACCCTGGCCAAATCTGCGTACCGCAGTTTTCGCCCTGCGACCCCAGAACCGGGTTCCAAGCATAGAAATCCGATGCTGCGACGCCTGAGTCCGTGATGATGGCCCAGCAGCTCGCCCCATCGCCAGTTGTGTGCCATTTATTGCAAGAAGCAGGCTGGCCTGCTTGCGTATTTGTCGGTTTGGGTACACTTTCCGTGGTCGAGGTACGAGTAGCACTCGACAGAGTACCAGTTGCGGGACGCGAAGTAGTAATCGGAGCGCCCTCCCCATTCACCCCAACACAGTAATAATAATCCTTCCAAATCATTGTATTGCAGAATTCACCGGTAGGACCGAGTACGGGATTTAGTTCGAAGAGCCGCGGTTGCGTTATGCGGGCGTCGTTGGCGACTTTCCAGCAGTTTGCGCCGGCGCTGACGAGGACGTAGCGGGTACATTCTTTGGGGGTGCCTTCGTGCAGGAGCCAGGGCGAGATCGGGGTGGAAGGGTTGTCGATGATTTCGAGGGTGGGGGTGCTGCCGGGGCCGCCGCGGATGGGGCCGTCGTTGTCGTCTGGGAGGCTGGAGTTGGAGGGGGGGATGTAGGAGCCGCCGGGGCGGCTGGTGAGAGTGGGTTAGTTGGGATGGTGGAAGGGGAGGGGGGTTGTGACTTACGAGACGCAGATGTATTGGTCTTCGACGAGGTGGTCGCAGGCACCTAGGATGTTGGGATTCCAGGTTGCTAGTTGGGCGCCGTTGATGGGGTTGGTGCCTTCGGACACGGCGGCTGCAATGGAGGTGCTGGGAAGATGTTAGAGTTTGTGGTGATTTGTTACAAAAATGTATGTTGGGAGAAAGGGGTGGCAGTGTAGACATACCAGGTTTGGCCTTTGGTTACGTGGAAAAGCGAGCAACCGCGAGGACCACAGATCTCTTGATCTTCAACGTAGCAGGCCTCGTTTTGGGTGAGATATACGAGACTCCCAGTCGACACGTTGTACTGGCGTGCAATGTCGTTGCAAGCTTGCATGCTGTTGTTGGACGTAGTGCCCATGACATTGATGACTATCTGATCTGCCGCGCAGGACATTTGAGTTGCTTCTGGTTCTGGCTCGAAAACTTCTCCCGGTCCTTCCACAAACGATGGCGTTGGAGTCAGGACGACCATGTAGTTTGGTAGTGATCTCGTCGCTATGTTGGCTGCAATAGTGGTTTGGCAGACATTCTGGATGTCCTGGAACTCCTGAACAAGGTAGTCGGAGTGGTCTTCGTCAGGCAGAAACTCCGATGAGATGCGAGCATGCATCAGCTTCAAGAAGCATTCTGAGCATAGGAGGTCATCGTCGTAGATGTTGGCCATGCGACTGTTTTCGGCGGATACATTGGCCGGATTGATGCACCAGGGGTCAGAAGGGTCGGCATTGCAGTCTGGTCGGATGACATCGGAGCCAACCCATTCTTGAGACTCAACAAAGCACCATTGGTTGGAGGAGGACTTTAGACATGCAATGTCAAGACCAGCGACGAACCGGGTTGCAAGCGTTTCCGCGTCAACTTCACGATCTCCTGAGCGGAGGAACTCGCCGTCACAGGACCCGCCAACTTCATCAACCCATTTACGACTAGATTCAATACACCTTGTGGTGCAGAGATCAGATGCGTTGCTTGAGCTCCAGTAGATGTTGTCCACGTTGGAAGTCCATTGAAACAGGTTCGGTTCACAATCTAATGTTGTGTTCCTATCTCATACTTAGCATTTAGTTATGAAAGCGATTGAGATAGAGTCAATCCAGAGTCAGATGACTTACAAGGCAGCAATACATGTGGTAGAAATGTTAAGAACGCCGGAGAGCCCCTGAGGATCTACCAATGGCCATAGTGTGAAAGCAGAAGCGTACTGTACCAGGCCAATGGAAAGTACGATCGAGAGGGATTTCAAAGAAGTCATGAGTATGAATCTACTTTCATAAGAGTGACACTTCTGTAGAAAGCATCCGGCAGTCGAGGAATCAAATGCCAAATGGAGGATCCTCAAGGTATTAGGACTTTGAGGCACTGACTTTGATATCACGCGTCCTCTTCCTACACCAACTCCAGAACCCACAATTTCACATGGCATTCACCAGAAAGCTCTACGCGCCACAGCCGAGCGGCTTACATGCGTCGTTTATTCTGGTTCTATCGCCATCCCGTGTGCCACATCGCGTAGGAGAAGAGTGTCTCGGCATCTGTTCAGCCTTCACCATTCCAAGCTTGCCCAGCTACTAGGTTTTTCCCCAAACAGCTATTTTTCTTCCAATTCAATAAGATTCAAATTCCTTAGATTGCTATGCAGTGTACTGGTGGCCTCGCCAAGGGATTACCAAAGGGTTTTAGCGTCTCCGAGCGCAAGGATGCGGGTTTCGGTGGGGGGCCAACTAATTTCAACAGGGTCGCGAGATGCTACCTTAAGGAGGACTCCCAGCTCGGAACAAGCGGCAACAACACGGGCCGTCCGCTGCTTTACTCTTTCGGGCTAATAGGTGTATCTTGGCCGCCCAGCCGGTTGTGGCTAAGTCTATGGTTCCTGCAGTCAGTGGCACGTGGATCACCGAAGGATCTGACCTCTGCCGCTGCAGGAACAGCTGTATATCTACTGATCTATTTATTGACATCCGCTTTTTCAGGGTCTTGGTTTCTTAGCATATCCTTGTGCTAATCTACCGTTGATGGCCTTAAGGGATAAGACAAGGCTGACCAGCTGATTTTCCAGGTCATATGGTTCGATGGAACCCAAGAAGTAACGTCTCGGCGGGGCGTAACTCTGATAACTTGTATGCGAGGACGGAGACGATAAACTTGGCCTTTTGTTATTCAAGTTCCGGTATATGCGAATTGCCGAGGGAATCTGCATGTCTCCAAGCGAAGTGCGCGTGATAACCGTTACTCCTCGGTATGAGGATTGGAGGTGGTCAGACTGAGCTGCACAGGCTATACTTGGCAAAGATTGATGGAGCGTAGGATGTGGTCCTGGTCAGTAGCCAGGCATTTGTGGCGCATTTCATATCCGGTTAACATCTACTGTTCTTCTTATTCATAAGACTTGGGTACAGCAGAAGTTGTCGAATGGGCACTCCTCCTTTCTCTCGTTCCAGACGTCCCTGATCCCGAGTCATGCGGGCTTCTTTGCTTAGCTTGCTTTTATGGCCGGCTCTATCTTTTGCGGTCGAGTCGAATACTTCCTTCGTCCCGACGAACAGGACGTCAAACCACTTCAACGTTAGTGAGGCTATTGAACGTGTCAAGGCTGAATCTGGGATTGAAGCAAATTTTCTGCTCAATTCTGCATTTTCTGTGCTCGGATCTGATGTCTCTGCGGAGCTGCTGGAACTTCCAGTTGGTACCTGTAACGCCCAAACACCTTGCGTCAATGGGGCTTGTTGCAGCGGCGTACGTCTAAATCCCTATTGAGTCTTGTTGACTATGCTGTTACTTGATCTTCTAGCTTACTGGTAAAAGGTCTCTGGACTCTGTGGTTACTCCCCGTCCGAGTGCGGTGTTGGTAATTGTACCTCGAACTGCGATGCCAAAGCCGAATGCGGCCAGTACGGCGTTCCTGGAAAGCAGACATGTCCCTTGGGTGTTTGTTGCTCCAAGTTTGGGTAAAAGCATCATAAGTTTTAACTCAGTATGAGACTGACCGAGACTCTAGATTCTGTGGTTCGACCGACGATTTCTGCGACGTCGACGGAGGCTGCCAGAAGGACTTTGGAGGCTGCGGCCCTCCAAAACGTCCTTCGTGTAGCAAAGATGGCACAAGTGGTAAGACAATTTAACTCCAAATTTCCATATATGTTCTGATAAGGTTCTACTCGCTATAGTCAACAAGCGTTCCATTGGTTACTATGAAACTTGGGCCAACACAAGGCCTTGCAGCGCAGTGGCGCCGGAGCAGCTCAACCTCCAGGGCCTAACACACATCAACTTTGCGTTCATGTTTTTTGAGCCGGACACTTTTGAACTCACACCAATGGACAGGAATGCTGGTTCACTGATTAGCCGCTTCACGAAGCTCAAAGAGAGGAAGCCCGGACTAGAAACTTGGGTTAGTGTTGGCGGATGGTCTTTCAATGATCGTAAGTAATATAAGCTATAATTCAATAATTTTACGCTGACTAGTATATCTCACTATAGCTGGGAAGTATCAGCAAGCCTTTAGTATCATGTCGAGTACTGCTGCCAACCGCAAAAAGTTTATTGACAACTTGATCAAGTTCATGGAAACTTACGGGTTCGATGGTACGTCGAAAATTATTTGAGGAGATATAGTCCAGGATCCAAGACATATCAGTTAACCATTGACAGGTATGGATATGGACTGGGAATACCCAACCGCAGATGACCGTGGCGGTAAGCCCGAAGACAAAGCAAACTTTGTTCTTCTCTCCCGGGACATATACAACGCCTTTGAAAAGAAGGGATATGGCTATTCCCTCACACTACCCGCGTCATACTGGTATTTGCAGCATTTCGACCTTGCAAAACTGCAGCCATACGTCCACTGGTTCAATCTCATGTCATACGATCTACATGGTACCTGGGATGCAGCGTCAAAATTTGTTGGCCCCTACGTCGCCACTCATACGAACCTGACGGAGATTGATCTTGGTCTCGATCTCCTTTGGAGAGCAGGTGTCAAGCCCGAGAATGTCGTCCTCGGTCAGGGATGTGAGTACACATATTGCAAGAATATTTCCATCGACACTATAAGCTAATTCAAATTAGTGTACGGTCGCTCCTTCACTCTTACTGATCCAAAATGCAACGAACCCAATGGCGTGTGCCAGTTCTCCGGCGGTGCCAAAGCCGGCCGCTGTTCTCGGGCATCTGGTATCCTAAATCTTCAAGAAATCTTCGACATCATCGACGACAAGAAACTCAAGCCGACACACGACAAAAAGGCTGGAGTGAAGTGGATCCACTGGGATGATGACCAGTGGGTTTCCTACGACGATGACGAGACACTGATGCAGAAGCGTGAGTTTGGAGCGTCTCGCTGTCTTGGTGGCATGATGATTTGGGCTCTTGATCAGATAGATCAGGATACTGCAATTGGAGGCAGTTTATCACCAGAAGAAATGGAGGAAGCAGAAGCCATGTATCAAGATGCAGCTGCAAAGGGTGTCTGTTACACAACTATGTGCAACGATAAATGCCGCAACGGCGACTACGAAGCTGCGCAAATGAGGGGGCAACCTGGTTTGTTGTCTACCATGACTCGTTGTCCCAAAGATCAGGTTCGTCGTCTTTGCTGTTCCAAAGGTGTCACTATGGGAACCTGCAAATGGCGAGGCTTTCGTGGCTTGGGACTATCTTGCACAGGTGGTTGTCACGGCGATGAGACTGAGGTTACTACCAACACCAACCATGTCGACAAGAACGAAGACCAAACATGTACGGGAGGCACACAGAGCTACTGCTGCTCTGGATTCAAGCCTCCTATTTCAAAAGAACAAGTCAGCGAAAAGATCAAGGACGAAGCTGCTGACCTTGCTCTTGCAGCTGCCGAAACTCTTGCAATGGAAATAGCAGCAAAGGCCTTTTGTCGTGTTGCAATCATGGCTGCAACGCTACCTCTACGTATCATTCCGTTTGTAGGCTGGATAGCCTCTATCGCCCTTCAGGTTGCAATGCCAGCATTGGTCAATGTCTGCGCCAAAGGAGTCGCCAAAGCCGGCAAATCAGTCTTCAATTTCAAGGGGAAAGACTACGAAGTCAAAGTCGACAAGCCTCTTACAAGCAAGGTCGACCGGCCGGCATCTAGTTCACCGACCAAAGCTTCTGATAGGCCAAAGACTTGCAGGACGAAGAGGCTGGCAGCCAGGGACTTGAGACCTCGTACTGAGTGGTTGACAAATACATATGACCCGCCCGGTGTAAGAGTTACCCACAAAGTATGCAATGGCGCGAGAGCAAAGCAGGCCTGCTACAACTACAGCTCCATCATCAACCGGCGACCTGATCTCGCGCGTCTGACCTGCCCGTCTTTCAAGCACCCTCGCCCAGCACGACCCCAAGTCGACGAATACAACCAACAGCACAACACCCACTGGAGCAGCGGCTGGCTTCGCTCTGCAGACCTCGAATGCCAACGCGACGAATATCCCGGCGCTGCAATCTGGCAAGCCCGCGACGACAGTGTCTGGATTCGCCTCATTCCCCGTGCGGACAATGCCGCAGCAGCTCATCTCTTCGCGGGCTGCCCCGATGCAGAAGAAGAAGAATTCGTCAGAGAAAGATCCATCACCACGACCGTCCTAGCCTGCGGCAGCACCCGCGACGTCTGGCAAAAAACCTATCGTAAAATGGAAGTAGTGATGAGCATCAACTTTAATAACATGCAAAACATGCCTCCTGATTTTGGCATGACAGCCAATCTATGCTGGCCCGAGACACTGGTAAACGACCCAGGCTTCGCCCTTTTGACAGACGACCCCTGGTACGCCCGCGGCAACAATAGAGGCCAGTTCACGCAGTACTATAATCAGGCACCGTTGGCGCAGTTTACAAATGGGAAGGTCAATCAGCCCACCTGGGGCTGGACGAAACCGAGGGCAAACAACGTCGGTGGTGGTGGTGGTGGCGGAAACAACGGCGGTGGTGGAAATAACACTCCAGACCCAGACTCAGATGACGACATGCCCGATGCACCAAGCGACGACGAAGACAATGACCCCACGTTCCCTGGTGGCCGCAGTGCATTAGACGATCTAGACAAGTTCAAGCGGTCGCCGAATGAGCTTGTTATCCACGAAGGGAATTCGACGAGGAAACCGACCGAGGAGGAGTTGTTTGGCGAGTTGGGGCTGTTGAAGTGCGAGGAGAGGTATTGTCAGAGGGAGATGGAGGAACTGGGGTTTGCGTCGTTGCCGGTTGTGCAGGAGACGCAAGAGGCGCCGGTGGCGGTGCGGGCGGAGGCTACGCCGACGGATGGGAGTGCGGTGGTTGAGACGAAGGCCACGCCGGTGAGAGTGCAGGAGGCGGATGTGTCGGTTATTACGCCTGCGCCTAGACATCCGCATTATCGGTATGAGTAAGTGGGTTACATTGTATATATCCAGAGATCCTATTTGTATGTTTCTTATGTAGCTCGGATCTTTAGAAATTCTGTAAGCAATCATCGAGCATGTGATGTGATATCTGAGTGTTTCCTAGCCAACTTACGCTCGAAGATATTTGTTTGAAATATGACGTCGTTTATCTTTTCCACCACCATCACATCTCCCCTCCATCCCTGTCCTGCTCGCCAGGATCCGGCCCCCAAGTATCCATTCTGGAAAATGAAACTTCCAAGCCAATAAACCGAGGTCCCAAGAAATTTCCCTACTAAGCGACATATAATCAACTTCAACTCCCTTTCCCCCCAAACACCTACTCTCCATCTCACTCCTCACCCCCCAACTAGCACAATGTCCGACCCAGACCCCCCCCCACCACAACAACAACCTCCACCCCCAAACACCGGCTACAACCGCGCGGCACTAATCACAAGCCTAACCAACTACTACACCCTCCTCTCCAAAACCGTCTCCATCCACCCCTCGCACATCCACCTCGCCCCACCCACCGGCCACCCCCCCTCATCCCTCCCCCTCCCCCAGCTCCAGCGCCTAGGCTTCACTCCCACCATGCTCGACCTAATCAGCCACCTTCCCCTCATCACCTCAGCCACGCGTCCCGTATACCCCGGCACCACCCCCATCGCCTACACCACCACCCTCTTCTCCGACTACACCGACGAAAACTTTGACGTGAACGATGCGCATGCGGTGGGCCTTTGGCCGCTGCCCGAGGAGAAAATTCCGCAGGGTGTGGTACCGATTTCTTGGCCGTTGCAGGGGGATCCAGGGGGTGTGTGGTGGATGGTTGATACGAATACTGGTGTGTTCCCCCCCTTTTTTTTATTTGCCCCTTTGGCTTTCCGGAGTATGCGGTGGTGTGGTGTATATATTTCCTGGGACTAATGAAGCGATTGAGGGGGAAAAGGCGAGGTTACGCCTCACTCGAATTCTATTACGAGACCTGTCGACGAAGTACCGGAAGATGAGCAGTGGCGGACTGCGAGACCGGTGCCTGCGACAGAGTATTTCGATGGGTTAGCGAGGGATTTGATGGAGTTGGAGTTGTTGCCTGTGCCGTTTAATCCTGGCTTGCTGGTTTGGGAGATTTGGCATGCGAGAGGGCATAGGGAGTTTCAGGTTTTTGCCGATGTGAGTTTACTCTATTTATGTTGTTGGAGCTGGGGGTGGTTGGGAAAAGGTTGCGATTTTCGTTTCTAACGGGAGGGAATACAGGAGGCGAAAGCGATATATCGGCAGTGCGAGTGGCCGGATTTGGAAAAGTTCAAACGTGCTAGGTGTAAGAGGTTGTTGGAGGAGTTGCAGAGGAGAGTTAGCGCTTGGGAGAAGGCGAGGAGGGCGGCGATGCCGAAGCCGCCTGCGTATACGGATGCGGAAGGGAATCCGGTTGAGCCACGTTGATGAGTGAGTAGTCTTTTCAGATGTAAGTCATACGATGGGCTTGATTGATGTGTATATGTGAGGAACAGTCGACTGTATGCAACTAGACATAGTTGTACTTTCAAGAATTCGTTACTTCATCTACACATGAGACATGGTAGCTATCTAATGATTACAGTTCACATACTGTAAAATGACGCAGCACAGTAACTCATCGTACCCCCCTGATCACCCACAACCCACTCTCCCAACCCCCTAAATAGCCGCCTCATCCACATTCCTAATCCACCCCACCATCCACTTCACAGTATCCAAATGCGCCGTAATCCCGACCTTCTCATCCACCGTATGAATATTCCCCAAGCCAACCTGCTCCTTATCCCAACCGGGCCCGTAGCGGAAAATATGCTCGCTCAAATCCCAGTAGAACCTCGTATCCGTATTCCCCGTCATAAGACCCGGACTGACAATCAGATCGCGGCCATACAGTGCGCGCGTAGTACCTGCGAGAAGGGCAAAAGGAGTTGTAGTAGTCGAGACCGAAGCGTTAGAAGAAGATTGAACAAGCGATGTCGGAGTTATGGGTGCGGGTTCCAAGATGGTGGGACCGTGGGAAAGAGAGATGCTGGAGGGTGTTTCTTCGCCGGTGAACGCGTGGAGTGTGAGGTTGTACTTTTCGGCTACCTGGGCGGCCAAGGAGGAAATGTGGGATTTGATTTCGGAGGAGGTAGAGCCGACGTTGATACGGTGATTCACCGTGAACTGGGTGCGCTCGGGTAGTGCGTTGGTTTTGACGCCTCCGTGGATGATGTCGACAGCGACGGAGGTTGTAAAGAGGTATTTTATTCCGGGTCCTGCTTTGGCGGCTTCGAGGGCGAGGTCGTCTTTCTTGCTACAGGTTGCATGGCGTCGGGAGCGCTTGTCCAGGAGCTTTCCCAGCTGCTGTGGGAAATCGGGTGCGTACGTTTCGCCACATTGGAGAAGGCCTAGGTATGGGTTCTCGTCCGCGAGATGTGGTTCATAGCGGTTCGCTTCAATCAGGGTAATAAGTTCACTGGCAACCCCAATCCCGTTGTGCGGAGGGGGGATGCTACTATGGCCACCAGGCATGCGAACAACAATGTCAACATCAACATAGCCCTTCTCTGCAACACCTGGAATGGCAAAGTTGGCGCCCCAGCTTTCGATATTTACCGCGCCCTCGTCGACGATAGCAGCGATTGAATTGTGTCCCAGTTTCTTCAACAGGTAGGCTGAGAGATGCTTTGCCCCCTCTCCACCAGAAATCTCCTCGTCAAAGCCAAAAGACAAGATTAGTGTTCGTTGAGGCGTAAAGTCGGCAGCAATGAGTGCCTCAACAGCATTCAGGATAGCCATGAGCTGGTTCTTGCAGTCACTTGCACCTCTTCCCCATACAAATTTTCCATCGTAGTGTCCTGAGAAAGGCGGGTACGTCCATTGCTTGAGAGTTGAATCCGGGACAGGCACGACATCTTGATGCGCCATGAGCAAGTTGGGCTTCAAGCTGGGATTGGTGCCAGTCCATGTGTACAGCAAGCCATGCGTGTTTACTTTTTCGAGCTGAAGTGTCGCATGCGCCAGTGGATAGGTCTTGCTGAGATATTCTGCAAACGAATAGAAAATGTCCCATCGGGGGTCCGCGCCGATGTCGCCCATATCATCGTAGCTCTGGGTGGGGATCTTCACAGCGCCTGATAAGCGCTCGATAGCAACATTGCGGAAGTCGTCAGAGGTCAGATAGCTCTCCATATCATCCAACTCTTTCGTTTTTCTGGAAGGAAAAAGAGGTTCAGCTTGGTGACATTGCGAATCCAGTCTAGATTTGCTCGGATTCGAGAGAAAGTTCCATGTTGATGTCGGTGTGGTGGTACAGTTTCTAAGCAATGCTAGAGCTGCTAAACCAAGCACTGCACCCGTAACAAATTTGCGTTTGTAAGAAGCAGTATTGGGCGATGCATGAGGCACCGCATGCTCTCCCAAGTCCTTGCCAGCCATCTCGATAAATTGGTGTTGGTAGGAGGGTTGGTGGCCAAACCAGACATTCGACGGGAATAAACAGCGCAAATGTCCTATACCGCATTAGGAAAGTCTTGGACACGATGAGGCGATCATATCCGAAAAGGGCATCAATCTACAGTGGATACTGATACTGTTCCATTACTCCATATTGTTATTCAACCGCATTTCCAATCTGACGTAACAGATCTAGACTACAACTGCACACCCATTTCCTACAAGCCAATAGACAGATCTCACACGATGTGCATCGAACACGGCAGACTCTTGTACATGGCATATACATAGCTCGTCTCAACGAACCACCTACTCATCAATATCTTCAACCTCGGTTTCGTCTTCTTGATCATGAACCATGCCATGTAATCCCTCGCTTTCGGCTCCTATCAGTGGAGCCCGCTCGCCCTCTTTGCGCGCAAAATGGCCTCCGATACTGACAGCAAGCGTACTGAAGCCATGTACCACTGTGCTACCGAGCACAACAAAACAGACAATTGGCCAGATTAAGGTGACCGTTCTCTGCCTCTCGATCGGGAGATCGTTTGGTGGGTTGGGCAAAGGTAAAGAAGTGCCAGTTTCAAGCTGTGCACGCGCCTCGATAGCGAGGAAGAGTGCCCCAACACCCATAGGTCCAAAGTGACCGACAAAGAGAGCTTCGGTTGTCGTCTTGACAAATGGCAACAAATTTGCCTGGAAGAGAATGAAGACGATGGGAATGCGGCGGAAGAGAAGGATGAGGATGAGGAAGCCAATGAGCCGAGCGGGTGTGATGTTGTCAAAGGCGCGGAAACTCTCCCAAGGTATCATTGCGCCAAAGAAGACAAAGAATGACGAGTTGATCATCATGTCGATAATGACAGGAAGAGCAGTATCAGCCATGGGCGATTTTTGCCTGTGAGAGAATCCACGGCCTGCAAAAAAGGCCACAAGGAAGTCGTCCACTCCAAGGACTGATGCCAGTCCAATTGAAAACACGGCTGCAAGAAGATAAAATGTGAGATACGAAGCCTCACCCATCCATTCGCGCGCATGCGAGAGTCGGTAGAGTCGGTTGAAGATGTGTCCGAGTATAATTCCTATAAGGATACCCACTGCGCACTGGTACAGTATTGTGACGAGGAACCATTTCTTCAAGACACCACCAGCCGTGTTCTTGAGGAGCAGGCTGATGCCAATGTACAAGAAAGGAAACGAGACGCCATCATTGCAACCGCTTTCCGCACTCAGAAGATCTCTGATACGTTTCGGTACTCGTGTACTGAACTGGCTGTTGGAGAGCACAGAGGCTGCAAGGACGGGGTCTGTGGGCGTGAGGCAGGCAGCGATTGTCATGGCCGTCACAAAGTCTGTCTCAAATATGATGGTAACCAGCAGGGCACAGATGAGCCAGCCGAAAGTCATGACTGGTCCTAACAAGGCTAGTAATGCATACTTCTTTTTGGAGAGATAGCGATTCTCGAGCTCGAGGCCGACAGCAAAACATTGGATCCCGACAATCAGGCGGGTGGTTTCTTGAATCGTATCATCCTGCTAGTTGTCAA